AAAGAAGGAGGTTCTGAATCAAGAACATAAACAGTGATGAAAAGGGCATTGAGTGGAAAAGAAAAAATGATGAAGAAGAAGAGAGCAAGCAGGACAATAATTAGAAGTTTCCCCCTCCTCCTCTGGTGTGATTTAAAGCAGACCCTGACAAAAAGGATCAGAGTGGCGACAGTCATGAGTGGGAGGCAGAGGAAGCCATTCACAATAAGATGAATGCCCAGTATGTTAGAAACATTTAAATCAGCCAGAAGGAGAGTGAAGTCAATTGCAGGGAAAATAGAAGAAAGTACCCATATTGAGGCACAAACAGCCGTGGACATATTTGGTGGTCGGTGGCATCGATGCCAAAGTGGGAAAAGGACAGCCACACACCTGTCAATGCTGATGGCTGTCAGCAGAAATTGACCCGTGCCGTAGAATAGGAACATGAGAATAAGAATGTATACTAGAAGGTGTTTGAGGACAGATACTTCTAACAGGGACAATATATACAAAATAAGATTAACTGTCAGCAAACCAAAGTCAGCCATGGAGAGGTTCAGGATGTAAGTGGTGAAAGGTGTCCTCTTAATGCAGAAGCCAAGCAGCCAGATGACAGTCCCATTCCACCAAAGTCCCAAAATGCTGATTAAAAAGCAAATATATATATACATATACTGTCCTAATGTCAATCCTGAATGATTACCAGTGTAGCTATTGTTAGAGAGAATAGTTCCATTGTCCGTTCCGTAATATTCCTCTCCAGCATTCATTGGGGACAGTGATGGGAGGGTGTAATTGATCATCGTGATCAATCTTTGCTTTTCTACTTTGTCCGTTGTTTTCCTGCTGGAAGAATTTAGAGAACAGTAGAATTAATCTTTACTAATGGAAATGAGCAAATAAAAAAGCTAAAGCTTTGGAGATTAGTCTTTCAGACTTTGTAGCTATTTTGGAGTGGGTGCTTAAGGTGACATGACCAGTGGGGCTTGCAGCTACCTGAATATATTTGGGGTTTCAGAGAGTCTATGATAGGGTTCCCATAGTCCCAAAAGTAAAAATGCTTCGAGGGCAAGGAACATAGCTCTGTGGTGCAACATCTGCCTCCTGTGCAGAAGGGTTCCATCCGTGGCATCAACCATTAGGGCAGACCCTTGTCTGAAACCCTTGAGAAGTGCTGTCAGCCAGAGTCACACAACCATAGAATCTTAGAGTTGGAAGGGGCCAAAGGATCATCTAGTCCAACCCCCAGCAATTCAACAATGTAAAGCAATACTGGGCAAATTGGAAAGAGCCAATGTGGCATTGTGATTCCAATTTTGGAGTAAGATCTGGGAGACCAGCCATCAAATTCCCACACAGACATAAAACTCACTGGATAACCTCAAACCAGAGTTCCTCAGCCTGACCTACCTCAAAGGTTTGTTGTGAGGAAAAAAAGAGTAGCAAGACAAACCATGTACACCACCTTGAATGCCTTGGAGGAAAGCTGGGTATAAATAAATAAATGGACTAAATTTTAGGAGGCAGCTTCCTATTCTTTTCTGTTCCTAAAACCTCATACAGAATCTTTCACAGCTTTGTTATCTTTTAATCTTTTAAACCCAGCGATCGAAGCTGTGCTTGTCAATCATCATCATCATCAGTGCTTAATTTTGCCACACCAATTACTCATCTTTCTGTTCTTGCAAGTGAAGAATTTCTAACGAGCTTTTCGCTTACCTGTGACTAATGTTGGATCAGTTACAGATAGGTAGCCGTGTTGGTCTGCCATAGTCAAAACAAAAAAAAATTCCTTCCAGTAGCACCTTAAAGACCAACTAAGGTAGTTCTTGGTATGAGCTTTCGTGTGAAGAAGTGTGCTTGCACACGAAAGCTCATACCAAGAACTACCTTAGTTGGTCTTTAAGGTGCTACTGGAAGGAATTTTTTTGTTAATGTTGGATCAGATATTGAGATAGAGAGAGAAACAAAATAAGTAATCCTGTGCTGGAAGATTTGCAGACACCAATGCAACTCCCAAGTCTTGAGGAAATGTTCAATGCTCATGACAAGATGTGCTGGAATGTGCCTGTTTGCCTTCATTTATGCTTAATCAGTTTGCCAGTGTCATGTGACAAGAGAAAAAACGATTGTCACTGGGTTGTCAATGTAGTCTTTAGGGGATTGTGATCATGCACACTAACAGCTACATTTGTAAAATATACAAAAGTGCTTTGAAAGGCTCCATTACAATCCAAAAGCCTGCAAGTAAGTTTTAAGCACTGAAAAGCACTTTGCTCTGCACACAGTAGATTTCCAATACACCCGGGGAAAGAGAGCCCAGCTAATTGGCTGGAAAGAGCAGGATGGTGGTACAGTAGGGATACAGAACCTTTTTCCAGCAGGAGGACATCATTCTTTTATGGGAAACCTCTTAGAAGGGAATACATACAGCCAATCTACTGCCACTTGTAAGCAGAGATTTCTGTTTGGATAAAAGTAGGATGCTTGATATTTCTCGAGCCTCTTTGCTCCCGGATGCAAGCTACACAAATTCTATGCATGGCAGGAGAGAGTGCAGGAAGGTAAGGAAGGCCCTTCTCATGGCAGAATGGGGTGAATGGGAAGGATGAAGGCAGGAAAAGGTGCAGCAAGGGTTTGTGAGTACATTTGCACCTCTGCATTGGGCAGGAAAATGTCTTGCACCAGCACTAACACATCACATCCTTTCTTCTTGTTTTTTTCCTCCTTCTCTTTGGTGTCCTCACATATTTCTTTTCCTTCATGCTCCTCCTCGAAGGCAGCCTTTATGGTGAAGCTTCTGGACTCCTTTGTCTTCATCCCTGACCAGCAGGGATATAGGCAGGAATCATTCCTGTCCCTCACTGGAGCTGCCACAGGACTTTCTGCACGCTAAGCAAAATCTCTGCATATGAGCAGGAGCCCTCAAAACACCTGCAAGCATAAAGTGTATATGTCTCTGGAGACTTTGATAAGTGTTTTCTTTTCTTCTGAGTTTTTTTCTTCTTTTTCGAAAATGGTGTTTGTGTGTTTGTGTGATAAATTCATTTCCTGAACACACAAGAGATTGCTAAAGTATCTAGGTTGAGAAAATCCTAGTGCTAGACCTTAAGCTACTAAGGCACTGAGATCTCCAGAACTCATTCTTTCCTAGCCTGCCACTTCGGATCCCTATAACTCTGTTCCTGTCTGTTCCTCCACTTTCCTCATATAAGATTCCCCAAAGGATGCAGCCAGTGCTTGAAGATATTTAACTCAAAGCACTGCTTTATTTAAAATTGCCATTTCCCTCCTCTCTGTTCCCTGCATCACTGCTTTACTCAAATGTCTGCTGTTGTTTTAAGTCACAATTTTCCCCTGGAAAACTGCCTCTTCTTTCGTTGGTATCTCTTGTTGTTTTCATCTTTGGGCTAATAATATTCTTGCTGCAGTTGTTGCATATAAAAAACAAGTTTTATCTTGCTTGTGTATTTCTCTACCCACAATACCTAATAAGAAGGCTTCTGGGATTTTTAAAAAAATAAATGTATATTTCAACATTTTTTAAAGTTCATTATATATCATTTCCCCGAAAGCCTTCACCTCCTTACACACCCACCACATATGATAAAAGGTACCATCTTTTTCTTTACATTTCCAACATTGGTTATTTCTTCTATACATTTTTGCTAGTTTCACTGGTGTTAAATGCCATCTATTCATCATTGTCATTACATTTTCTTTGAGGAAACTGCATGCAGTAATTTTTTTTTTCATTTTTTCACAATCTTTCACAATCTTCTAAAAGTATGTTATGCCCAATATCTTTGGCCCAATGTATCATTACGGATTTAGCTTCTTCATCTTTCATATGCCACTCCAAAAGTAACATACATTTTTGACATCATTTTTACTTTATTACTTAATAAATCCAATTCAAACCTAGATCTTATATATTCACATCCATTTTTCTTGTTGTCTTCTTTAAACAATATTTATTTGACGATTTATTTGACGATAATGCAGCCAATCATTTCCCAGGTTTTTTTATTTCCTCATAAGGTTTTAGTTTCCACTGGTTATCCGTCTCCATCAATAAATCTCCATAGGTGGCCCATTCCCCCCCATATTTAACTTTTCTAAATAGTTGTTGCCTCTAACGGCAACAGCCACCATGGTGTTTTACATTCTATTAAGTCTTAAATATATTCAACACCTCATATATTGATTTTGAATTATGTGGTTCAGAAAACCTTTATGGACTTTTGCCTCCTCATAACAAAAATATGCATGTTACCCAAATCTCTTATCAAATCCTTCCAGATCTAATAGAGCTGTATTTTTTAACAATATCAAGTTCCTTAACCAACAAAGGTAAGAAGCTTCATAATACAATTTCAAATCTGGTAGAGAGAAACCTTCTCTCTCTTTGGTATCTGTAAGTAATTTAAATTTTATTCTTAGTTTCTTTCCTTGCCAGATACGGTAAATCTTGGAATTGCTTTTTGCCACTCTTTAAAATCACGAACACCATTTATAATCTCCTATGTCTTCCAACAGGGAAATACATGAAAGGGTTAACATAGCTGTTCAGGCAGGCACAAAAGTAGTTGTAATATAGGATCTAGGGAGGTTCTGAACTGGAAACAAAAATGCTGTTGCATAAGGCATTCAAAGTGTTTGCAAAAGTTCCATTCTGCCAGCCAAATCTACTTTCCCATCCTAGCCTACATCTTTCCCCAGCAGCTCCAACTGCAAGCTCAGAGCTCCCTGAATACATTAAATGCTCTTCTCATCAATAGACCCAGGCTTCCTCCATAGTCGTATATTATCTAGATTTATAAAATAATAAGAATAATAAGAAATTCATAAAGTCCATCCATGTGTTGAAGACTGAGATTCTATGCACACTCTGAAATCAATAGCCAGCCCTGAGCACAGGTCAGCAAGGTTACAGACAGAAATTTGTAAATTGGGAACTAGCTTGTGTCATCAGAATCACAATGATATAGACATATTTTGGCAATATCTTTGAGCCATCATAACTGAGTTTCCAAAGAGATCTCTCCTGCCTCTGCAGGGTTTTCATCCTCTTTGAAAACATTCTTGAATGTGGCTTTCATGCTCTGCCTACACCTGCCTCTTTTCTGTCTTCCAACCAGGAAATAAATCAAAGGGTTAACACTGCTGTTCACACAGGCAAGTATGGAGGCATAGTGTAAGAAAGAAGAAGGCACTGAATCAAGAACAAAAAAAGTGATGAAAAGGGCATTGAGTGGAAAAGAACAAACGATGAAGAAGAGGAGAGCCAACAAGATGGCTGCTATAAGTTTACCCTGCCTCCTCTGGTGTGATTTAAAGCAGACTTTGATGAAGAGGAGGAGAGCAGAGATAGTCATGAGTGAAGGACAAAGGAAGCCATTCACAACAAACTGAATGTTAAAGATATCACCAGATTGTAAATTAGCCAGGGAGAGTGTGAGGTGAATTGCAGGGGAAAGGAAACAAAATACCCATATTAAGGTGCACACAGTGGTGGACATATTTGGTGGTCGGTGGCATCGATGCCAAAGTGGGAAAAGGACAGCCACACACCTGTCAATGCTGATGGCTGTCAGCAGAAATTGACCCGTGCTGTACAAGAATATGAAGATAAGATAAAGAATGTCAACTAGAAGGTGTTTCTGGACATATACTTCTAACAGGAACAATATAGCCAAAATAAGAGTAACTGTCAGTAAACCAAAGTCAGCCATGGAGAGGTTCAGGATATAAGTGGTGAAAGAAGTCCTCTTAATGCAGAAGCCAAGCAGCCAGATGACAGTCCCATTTCCCCAAAGCCCCAAAATGCTGATTAAAAAGCAAAATAAATAATATATATAATGTCGTAATGTCAATCCAGAATCATTATCAGTGTAGCTATCGTTAGAGAGAACAGTTCCATTGTCCATTCCGTAATATTCCTCTCCAGCATTCATTGGGGACAGTGATGGGAAGGTGTAATTGATCATCGTGATCAGTCTTTGCTTTTCTACTTTGTCCGTTGTTTTCCTGCTGGAAGAATTTAGAGAACGGTAGAATTAATCTTTACTAACGAAAATAAGCAAATAAAAATAGCTAAAGCTTTGGAGATTAGACTTTCATGCTTTGTAGCTATTTTGGAGTGGGTGGTTAAGGGGAAATGACTTGCTCTTTAATTGCCAGGTAAAGGGACACGGGTGGTTCTGTGAGTTAAACCACAGAGCCTAGGACTTGCTGCTCAGAAGGTTGGCGGTTTGAATCCCCACGTTGGGGTGAGCTCCCGTTGCTTGGTCCCTGCTCCTGTCAACCTAGCAGTTCAAAAGCACATCAAAGTGTAAATAGATAAATAGGTACAGCTCTGGCAGGAAGGTAAATGGCATTTCCGTGTGCTGCTCTGGTTCGTCAGAAGCAGCTTAGTCATGCTGGCCACATGACCCAGAAGGTGTACACTGGTTCCCTCAGCCTATAGAGTGAGATGAGCACCGCAACCCCAGAGTCGGTCACGACAGGACCTAATGGTCAGGGGTCCCTTTACCTTTTAAAGGGCCAGTGGGGCATGCAGCTACCTGAATATATTTGGGGTTTCAGAGCGTCTCTGTGATAGGGTTCCCATATTCCCCCAAGTAAAAAATGCTTCCGAGGGCAAGGAACATAGCTCTGTGGTGCAACATCTGCCTCCTGTGCAGAAGGATTCCATCCCTGGCATCAACCATTAGGGCAGACCCTTGTCTGAAACCCTTGAGAAGTGCTGTCAGCTCAGCGGCGTAGCGTGGGTTGTCAGCACCCGGGGCAAGGCAAGTAATTTGCGCCCCCTAACCCCTAACCTGCCGCCACTGCCAGCTTCTTCTTGCTGCTGCCTGGTCTGGTCTGGTGTGGTTCTCTCCCGCGCTCAGCGCTGCGCTGGGCAGCCGCTGCATTGTCCCTCCCCCAGATAGTCCCTCACTCTCTCTCCGCACCGCACGCCTGGCACCCACCCCCTCCACAGTGGGCGGCGACCCAGCGGCTCGTATCGCATTCGCACAGCCAGCACTGCAGTGAGAGAGAGTGAGTGAGCCAGGTAGGGGCAGAGAGCTGCAAGTGCGAGCGCGCCTCCCCAGGTGTTGCGCCCGGTGCGGCCGGCCCCCTGCACCCCCCACGCTACGCCACTGTGTCAGCTAGAGTCACACAACCATAGAATCTTGGAGTTGGAAGGGACCTACGGATCATCTAGTCCAACCCCCTGCAATGCAACAATGTAAAGCCATACTGGGCAAAATGGAAAGAGCCAACGTGGCATTGTGATTCCAATTTTGGAGTAAGATCTGGGAGACCAGCTTTCAAATTCCCACACAGACATCAAACTCACTGGATAACCTCAAACCAGAGTTCCTCAGCCTGACCTATCTAAAAGTTTTTTTGTGAGGATAAAAAGAGGAGCAAGACAAACCATGTACACCACTTTGAACTCCTTGGAGGAAAGGTGGGTATAAATAAATAAATGGACTAAATTTAGGAGGAGTCTTCCTATACTTTTCTGTTCCTAAAACCTCATGCAGAATCTTTCACAGCTGTGTTATCTTTTAATCTTTCAACCCCAGCAATCGAAGCTGTGCTTGTCAATCATCATCATCATCATCGGTGCTTAATTCTACCACACCAATTACTCCTCTTTCTGCTCCTGCAAGTAAAGAATTTCTAACTTGAGCTTTTCGCTTACCTGTGACTAACGTTGGATCAGATAATGTGATAGAGAGAGAGAGAACCAGAATAAGTAATCCTGTGCTTGAAGATTTGCAGACACCAATGCAACTCCCAAGTCTTGAGGAAACATTCAATGCATTTCAGAGCTCATGACAAGATGTGCTGGAATATGCTTGTTTGCCTTCATTTATGCTTAATCAGTTTGCCAGTGTCATGTGACAAGAGAAAAACAATTGTCACTGGGTTGTCAATGTAGTCTTTAGGGGATTGTGATCATGCACACTAACAGCTCCATTTCTAAAATATACAAAAGTGCTTTGAAAGGCTCCATTACACTTCAAAAGCCTGCAAGTAAGTTTTAAGCACTGAGAAGCACTTTGCTCCCCACCAAGGAGATTTCCAAAACACCGGGGGAAAGAGTCCAGCTAATTGGCTGGAAAGAGCAGGATGATGGTACAGTAGGGATACAGAACATTTTTCCAGCAAGAGGACATCATTCTTTTCAGGGAAGCCTCTTAGAAGGGGATACATATAGCCAATCTACTCCCACTTGTAAGCAGACAGTTCTGTTTGGATAAAAGTAGATTTAGATTTATAGAACTGTTGGAAGGGACCACGAGGGCCATCTAGTCCAACCCTCTGCAATGCAGGAAATTTTCACCCAACATGGGGCTCAAACCCAAGACCCTGAGATTAAGAGTCTCATGCTCTACCGACTGAGCTATCCCTCAGGTGTGTAGGAAGCTTGGAATCTCTCAAGCCTCTTTGCTCCCGGATGCAAGCTACATAAATTCTCTGCGTGGCAGGAGAGAGTGCAGGAAGGTAAGGAAGGCCCTTCTCATGGCAGAATTGGGGTGAATGGGAAGGATGAAGGCAGGAAGAGGTGCAGCAAGGGTTTGTGAGTACATTTGCTCCTCTGCTTCAGGCAGGAAAATGTCTTGCACCAGCACTAACACATCACATCCTTTCTTTTAGTTTTTTTCTCCTTCTCTTTGGTGTCCTCACATATTTCTTTTCCTTCATGCTCCTCCTCAAAGGCAACCTTCTTTGGTTAAGCTTCTGGACTCCTTTATCTTCATCTCTCCTTCAGTTATAATATAGGATCATTTCCTGAACACACAGGAGATTGCTGAAGTGTCTAGGCTGAGAAAAAAGAAACCTGCCCATGTCAAAATAAAAAAATTCCTTCCAGTAGCACCTTAAAGACCAACTAAGTTAGTTCTTGGTATGAGCTTGCTCCCTAAAAATTGGAGCAATAACTAGTGGATATGACCATTTTAACAGGATATGAATTAGCCCTACCCGGCAGAGACTGAATCTGGAATCTTCTGCATGCAAACCACTCAGCCTCAGATTTTGGATACAAAACTCTATATATAACTCTATAACATACATAGAACTGTGATTTCTATGGCAGGATATGAGAGGTTATTCTTTTGTTCCATTGCTTTCCCAATGAAAACCTGCTGTTTACTGTTGATTTGGGCCAAACATCAGAAGGGTCTTTGAAGGGACATTCAACATCCTAGTGTTAGACCTTAAGCTCCTAAGGCTATCAGGCACTGAGATCTCCAGAACTCATTCTTTCCTAGCCTGCCACTTGGGATCCGTATAATTATGTTCATGTCAAAATAAAAAATTCCTTCCAGTAGCACCTTAAAGACCAACTAAGTTAGTTCTTGGTATGAGCTTTCGTGTGCATGCACACTTCTTCAGATACACTTCAGATAGGTGTATCTGAAGAAGTGTGCATGCACACGAAAGCTCATACCAAGAACTAACTTAGTTGGTCTTTAAGGTGCTACTGGAAGGAATTTTTTTATTTTGACTATGGCAGACCAACACGGCTACCTACCTGTAACTGGAACTATGTTCACGTCAGTGTGCAAAATGCTTGCTAATTATCCCACTGAGCAGTGGCTCTCCTGCCGCCCTTGCATGTTATGTCTGTCCACATACCTGTGAGAATCTGTGGCTCAGATATCATGAGTGGCAGGAAGCAGGAGTAAGAGTGTTCTGTGTTGGGGAAAGTTGGCAATCGAAGGATTTGCAGGAATCAATGCAATCCCCAAGTCGCAAGGAGAACTTGTAAGTCTGACCAAGCTGAATTCAAATGTCCTGTAAATTATCCTCTTCTTCTGCGCTTAATCAGTTTGCCAACACCAAAGAAGTAACTGTTTCTTTACTGGTGATCAAAATAGCCATCAGCAAAATTAGGAGGAGGTTGTTGTTGTCTTAAGTCTCACTGTTGTAGAAAGTACTCTTGATATTTTTTTTAAATCATATTTATTAAAGTTTCCAAAACACAAAAGATAGAAATACAAAGAAAAAATAAAAATAAAATACACTTTAAACCTTACTTTCATTGCCAACTTTCTGGGACTCCCCCATCCCCCTCCCAACTGTATTCCCCTTTCATTAATTTGGTTCTACAAGCTCTTACTCCCAATTTAAAACTTAATTTGTTTAACCCACTATTCAATTTAATTTATACAGTCATTCCACCATCCCTCATCATTAACAGAAAAAAAAAAATTCCCCAAGGTCCACCCCAGTTTCCTTCCACGAATTCCCTTTTTTAATAAACACATCCAATCAAAGTAAAAGATATACAAAAAGATATAAAAAGATATAGAAGATAAAGGATATAAAAAGATTCAAAAAATAGTTGCACAGCCTTTGGATTCCAAATCTCCCCCCCCTCCCCGGTTTGAATTCCCCATATCCATCAGTCTGTCTATTGTCAGCCTGGAGATCTCAGATCCATGACCAATTTTTTCCCCAGTTCCACCTTGCCGGTTTTTTTAATTAAATTTTTTTTAATGATATTTAACTTCAAACATCCAGTCTAAAAGAGGCCCCCAAAGGGCCTTTAGTTTCCTTGGTCTTTATGGCTCCTCCCTTGTTCTTTCCAAGTCGTAGTCAGTCCTTTGTTCTTTTTTCTCACTTTCTCAGGTTTCTTTCCCTGTTCTGCTGCTAAAACGTTCTAATTCAGAAATTTGGTACCTCTACAGAAGTTGTTGTTTGTTCAGGAACAAAAACTTACGTCCAGTCCCTTCCTTTCTTCAATAGATAATTCTATTGTCTCCTTTAATATAAACACCTCTGTAGACGAAATACTGTTTCAGTTTTGCAGCTTTCCCAGAAGATAGCTAGTCCTGTACGATTTCACGAGTATTTTTCCACTTACATAGAATCCTAGAGTTGGAAGAGACCACAAGGGCCATCGAGTCCTTACGACCCAGCACTTACGACCGTTCTTGTAATGTCCCGAAACCCCTCTAGGGGGATTGTAATAACTTTGTTTCCT